CAAACCGCCTCACCACTGGCTCTGAACAATTCTTTATTTAGTCACAAAAAAAGAAAAGACAGGGATGGCGATAGCGAAGAGCAGAAATGCAAATGGCTGGTGAGTTTGCAATCGCTGAGACAATGGCAATGCACAGAGGCTATCGTATTAAAGAAGTATTAAAGACTGCAGTCTATATATAGACATATATATAGACTATAGAAAGGCCCTATGTATAGGTCTGTGTACTACGTTTTATCGTTCCTAAATAGATTGAGGAGCCCCTCCACTATAGGGAAAATAGGGACAAGTTGGCGTGCTCGTGCCCGGTGTTCCACTTGTCCTCTTTGTTGTCTTGCGTTTATCTTTTCTATAGCATTGTGCAATGCTGCCTCCTGACAATTTCCTTCCTCCCTGCCCGGAACTGAACCTTCATTCACGTGATTAGCAGCGCAACACTTCCCTTTCGACTGGCAACGTCGATGGTCACGTGATCTGTTCATGCAACGATGAAATGTGGAAACGTGAAACGACGAGTCACTGCAATAAAAAGATCAGTTTGCCATATCAGAAGCGGCTCATCACTGATAAGATCATTATCAACAGAACATCAACCGCTCGAAAATGGCGCGTGTAAATATGCAAGTGGCCAGCAACCACTTCCACGGCCGCATTTCTTTGGATTCCCTTGTGCGTTGCCTTCAGCTTACGATGCCACCACTAAGATATGTAAGGTATAAACTGGCTGCCCACAAAACCACGTCCAATTGTCTCTTATACGTACTACGTCAAGATAAACGTTTTTCTAAACACAACGACGGAAAGCCATCAACTCATACGACCCCCATTTTAACTCATTGCATGCAGCCTTCCGTCTTGTCCGCACCTCTCGCATGCGACTGCGCGAACAGCACTGCACGTAATCTTGCGAGACTGCGCGTGAAGGGAGACGTGGCAGCAAACGGGTGCTTCCCGAAAGAGTTATGGCCTCATCGGAGCAACCGTGGCACCACAAGCGCTGGCACCCGGTATATAGGCCCCACGGAGCCGTCTATAAGCGCTAATAGCTGCGCAACCACAATGGATTCACTCTTGTGCACGGTATTCGCGTGTCACTGCGCGGGGGAGCTCGGGGGGGGGGGGAGGGGGGGAGTAAACAGCGAGCGTTCTTCGCAGAGTGCGCAACGGTGATGTGTGTCCCCAAAAGCTGAATATGCAAGCCGCTTGGCAGAACTGACAGCTGTCGTGTGCGTTAAGCGTGCTATCCGATATTGGCAAGAGTGCGATCCTGCAAAGCAATCGGCTGTCGCATACACAGTGCTTTGCAAAGTCCTCCGATATCTGGAAAACGGATAAGTTTATTGGCATGTATATATGCATGACACTTTAAAATACCTTCCATCCCCACGGGGTAGTAGCCGGATGGGAGATAAGGGATGGGGAACCGGCGTTGGTGCAGGCTCTCTAATGGAGTTCACACTGTTTCTCGCGTAAGAAATACACTTTCCAAATGTACATGCATCAAGAGAAAGTGATCATAAGAGGAGTGCTTTTGAAGAAATACGGAATGACCCGAAGGTTTGTGAATGTATACAGATGGCATAGGTGACGTCACGAGGATGAGGGGGTGCAGTGCGGGTGCAAAGGTCCTTCCGAAAAAAATCTTGATCTCATTCAGTGCGTGTACATGCGTGTATACACTCTAACCTAAGCCAAGATGACGCACACGCAAAAAAAAAAGGAAAAGAACAGAGAAAAAAGGGGCTATTCGTGCAGGAGGTCCGAAAGTCGCTTCAGTCGCGTGATCGTGTGAAACGATGTGTCTTTTTTTTTCTCTCTCTCATGCGCATGCGCTGATAGAGGCATACATTGTGTCGTAAGGCTCAACGCAATCGCATCTTTTCCTCTCTCTCTTCTTAGCCGTGTGACCCTCTGAGAGCAGTGACCTTAGAGTGGGACACTGGTCCGTGCCGCGCGCGTCCGTCGCGTGCCAGTGTCGCGTGGAACGGGCTGCACGCCCCTGAATGGACCCGACCCCTTTCCCGTTCTCTGAGCGCTGATCGATGGTCGAGATTAGAGCCCTGCGCCGCCTTTTGCACCAGGGAGGAATATGCCGCCGATCCCACTGACCGAACACTGCAGCTTGGAGGATGCCGGCCAACCGAACACCTGGAAAGTGTGCCGTTTGTGAACTCGAGAGCACGTTTAATTCATACTATTATACCGTACAGTGTGGTCTACACAAAACTCTACGGGGCACTGGCTTACCCAGACTTCAATGCCTGCAGCTGTGCATGAGCGCCTTGCAGCGATTTCTTAGAGAAGCAGGACTGAGCGACACGTTGTGACAGTTCAATCACTTTATACGTTCGAGTGCTGTTAGCCTGTGACAGAAAACTATAACGATCAATATCCGGCACACGCTTTCTTCCTCCACTTCGTCCTCTTCTGCTTCGCTCCTGGAACACGTGCGTCAAGATGTCCGGCGTCGAATGCAATAACTCTAACGAGCGAGAAAAAGAAAGATGGAAAGGAAGAAAAAAAAAAGGAATCGTTCCATGGGACTTTTTTTTTAATGCAAGGTACTGGGGTTCTAACTGCCTACAAATAACTAGAATGTGGATGCCGTAACAATTGTTTTTCGTGAATTTTCTTTTTGCAAGTTGAGGATTCTAACTGCGTACAAACAATTATAGAAGGTGAGTATTGTAACAACTCAAGTGGAAATCCAGTCACGCTATAGCACAGTATCTTGTATATGTAGTATAGCAAAAGAGCGGAAAAGTGATTGATTGACACATGGGGTTTAACGTCCTAAAACCGCCCTATGATTATCAGCGACGCCGAATAGTGGAGGGTTCCGGAGATTTCGACCACCCATGGGGTTCTTTAAGGTGCACTCAAATCTGAGCACACGGGCGTCTACAGCACTTTTTGCCTACATCGAAAATGCCGCCGCCGCCGCCGGGATTTGATCCCGCGACCTGCGGTTCAGCACCGGGAAAGGGAAGCGAGGCCTAGGAGGAGGTAACCATAAAAAGAAATAGTAAAGCATAACACGAAAATAACAATGAAAGAAACAAAAGAAAAAAATAAAAGGAGAGAAAAAATGAAGCATAAATAGTAGACAAAGTGGGAAAAGTAAGGAGAGGAAGAAAGAAAGATTAAAATAATAGAGATAAAGAAGTTATCCCCGTTGCGCAGCTTCTTCAGACTCGGCTTCATTACTGAGAAGCTCGCTTCACTTTTTTTTTTTAGATAGTGTTCTTGACATCACTTGGCGGTGTTGTTACGAACTACTTTCTCCACTTTGGTTATTTCACGTCTCCTTTCCGTGGGAGCGGCCCGCGGCGTTGCTCTAAGGAGTAGCGTTTCTCAGGACCCAATGAAGTTCTTTGTCTGTCTGTCTCTCTGTCTGTTCCTTTTCTGAAGTACATTATAGCCAATCAGAGTTTTTCTTTGACCAACCTTCTTGTATTAGCTCTACCTTCTTTCTCAGTTTTTTTTTTTTGCCAGGGTCTATTACATTTAACCTAAAATGTCGTCGGCGACTAAAGTCATGGCTGTTGTTATTGCGGATAATTCGCGTAAATGCTCCATCCAATGACGCTGACTTATTTTTGTGACGGCAAGCACTAAACGAGCGCTTCAGATCGATGATAATTGATAGCCTCGAACCATGCGCGCCGCGGTGCCGTTGCCTTCTCACTGGTATGTCCGAATGACGGCGTACCACAACACCTTTATGCGTGGTGGATAAGTACAAATCAGGGATAAAATGACCAATTGGGGAGTAAAAAGAAAATTAGCGCAGCTTGCACGAAGTCACCGTTTACCCTTTGAGTTATTCATTTCCTACCTTTCGCTATGCTTGTTCCCACTCTATATTTTCTACTACCCGTCACTTTCTTTTTCTATATATATGTAGTCGTACTCTCGCTTTTCTTTTCTTTTTATTTTTTCTTTCTAGTCATTTCTCCCTTTCTCGTTTTTAAAAAAAATCTTTTATCTCTCTGTGTCTATCTCTCCACTTGTTCTCCCATCCTCATTTCTCTCTTCGTAGAACTATCTTCATTTTACCATCTCGATGCTATATATACTACACACCTTTTCCAATTTGCAAATTACATGCTCCACATGTAGAAAGTACAGGACCACACACTTGACTCTAGCGAAGCCCCAGTGCTGCGTCGCTATTGCACACACGTATAACTTGTTTCTGCCCCCATCATCACCCTTCACCACTTCCATTGTTCTCCCCCTGTCCCTCTTCCCCCATGCAGAGTAGCAGGCTAGAGCGAACTAGCTCAAGTAGACTTCTCTGCCTTCTAGTGAATCATGTCTTTGTCTCTCTCTGTCACGCCGTCTAACGTGCAAGTTTCACGAAATCGCCATCTTGCATCACGCGCCGGAAATATTGGAGTGCGTCTTGAGGAGCCAAGCAGAAGACGATGATGGAGAAGATGAGAACAAGAGCGCTTGTTGGTTCATAATTATGGTAATTTTCTATCTACGACACACGGCACACCTCGACCATAAAACTTAATTCTATACCATCGAATATACAAGTCATACTAATCTTGTAAAAGTAAACTTGGCGATGCGGATTAAAATGCTCTCAACTAATCTCCAGAAGACGAGGAAGAAGAAATACACGCACGCGGCGCACGAGAAGCGAACGCGGCTAATTAGGCATTTTGGACTATCCCCCGGCTTCGGTGTGTGCCAAGGTCCCAACGTTCTACTCCGCCGTACTCTACTCAGACAGTAGTAGGGGCTCAAGTCATCTGGCTGTTTGATCTCGGCTCTCGCTGCTGTTCCACAAAGGCTGCTGTTCCGGGAACCACGAGCCGGGGATCAGCAACCCTGACGAGCCCAGCGAGCTCTTCGTCATTGAGGGCTGACGTGGCATCGAGATGTGGAGCGACAAGACCATGGCGGAGGCCACCCACCTTAAACCCAACGTTGTGAGAGCGAAGCGCCTCGCTGCTACTGGCCATAACTACGCTGGCCCTTCTAACATGGCTCCGGCTGCCAAGGCACCACGTGGTCGACCACCCAAAACCGTGTCGGTGGAGCTGCCAGCACCGTTGCCCATTGCTACCACGGCGCCTCCAAAGTTGCGGAATGCTGAGGATGCAGCGCTGTCTGGTAGGGAAAACCCTTCAACTAGGGAGGACATCACTACGGAGGAACAGGTGGGCGCGAACGGGGGTTCGCCAAAGGTCGGGCGAGCTAAGCGCCAGGCTGCTGCTGACAATGGCACTGACCCTTCCAACGAGGTTCCGGCTTCCAGTCTCCAGGCTGCTGCTGTCGACAATGGCACTGGCCCTTCCAACGAGGCTCCGACTGCCTGTCGCCAGGCTGCGGCTGACGACAATGGCGCTGGCCCTTCCAACGAGGCTGCGACTGTCTGTCGCCAGGCTGCTGCTGACGACAATAACGTGGGCCCTTCAAACGAGGCTCCAACTGCCACTCACCAGGCTGCCTCTGACAATGGCGCTCGCCCTTGCAATGACGCTCCGGATCGTCGCCAGGCTGCTGCGAACAATAGCACTGGGCCTTCCAACGAGGTTCTGGTGGCTTCCAGTCGCCAGGCTGCTGCTGACGACAATGGTACTGGCCCTTCCAACGAGGCTCCGACTGTCTGTCGCCAGGCTACGGCTGACGACAATGACGCTGGCCCTTCTAACGAGGCTCAGACTGTCTGTCGCCAGGCTGCTGCTTACGACAATGGCGCTGGCCCTTCTAACGAGGCTCCGACTGTCTGTCGCCAGGCTGCTGCTGACGACAATGGCGCTGGCCCTTCCAACGAGGCTGCGACTGTCTGTCGCCAGGCTGCTGCTGACAACAATGGCGCTGGCCCTTCCAACGAGGCTGCGACTGTCTGTCGCCAGGCTGCTGCTGACGACAATGGCGCTGGCCCTTCCAACGAGGCTGCGACTGTCTGTCGCCAGGCTGCTGCTGACGACAATGGCGCTGATCCTTCTAACGAGGCTCCGACTGTCTGTCGCCAGGCTGCTGCTGACGACAATGGCGCTGGTCCTTCCAACGAGGCTGCGACTGTCTGTCGCCAGGCTGCTGCTGACGACAATGGCGCTGGCCCTTCTAACGAGGCTCCGACTGTCTGTCGCCAGGCTGCTGCTGACGACAATGGCGCTGGCCCTTCTAACGAGGCTCAGACTGTCTGTCGCCAGGCTGCTGCTGATGATAATGGCGCTGGCCCTTCCAACGAGGCTGCGACTGTCTGTCGCCAGGCTTCTGCTGACGACAATAGCGTTGGCCCTTCAAACGAGGCTCCAACTGCCACTCACCAGGCTGCCTCTGACAATGGCGCTCGCCCTTGCAATGACGCTCCGGATCGTCGCCAGGCTGCTGCGAGCAATAGCACTGGGCCTTCCAACGAGGTTCTGGTGGCTTCCAGTCGCCAGGCTGCTGCTGACGACAATGGCACTGGCCCTTCCAACAAGCTTCCGGCTGCCAAAAAGTCGCGTGGTCGACCACCCAAGGTCGTGTTGGTGCAACCGGTAGCACCTGAGGCCATCGCTGCCACAGTGACTCGAAAGTCGACGAAGGCAACGCATGCAGCGCAGCCCGCCTGCGAGAACCCTTGCACCAGCAAGGAAGTCGCTACGAAAGCCCCGATAGTGAGCCGCAGAAAGCGTCCGAGAAGCTGCTCTTCAAGCAGCACTCACGATCAGCGAGGCTTCGAAGCGTTGCAGTGTCGAGAGGAAGGTGAGCCGCAGAGGATCCAGGCGCTCGTCCCGCATTTGTCATACGGGCGCGCGCATGAAGCCTGAAACCGTGAAGGCTCGGTCACATGCGCGAAGAATGCAGTGGCACCGCAAGTGCCTCCGCCTTGCCGTTCTAGATGCTTGGTACACCAGAGAGCGTGCAATGGAAGTACGGAAAGAAGTGTGGCCACGTCCATAGTCGCGCATCCTAGAGGCACGGAGGAAGCCGTCTAAAGGCGAGGTAGGCTTCGCGCAGCGGTTCGTCGACTAGGCACGGGAGGCGCACGAGGTTTGGCAACACACCCAAGAGCTTCAAGAGGAAGTGGAAGACGGGTGAAACCGTGGTTAGAACGAAAATATCGGTCCGTGAGGAATGACGGAGATGCGTCTAGACTTGAGCTGTACGCAAAATGGACAATTCGTATTTCGTTACTACTTTTCTGATAAAGTGGCCCTGTATGGCCTAACTATTGCCTAAACGGTGCTATCATATAATTCGCGGGTGAAATAGCGGGGAAGATGCGATAGCGGTTTATTATAGTGCACCAATGCTGCCTTATATATTCAACAAAAATTTGTGAAGACGAGATTGTCCACTTAAAATACAGTTCATCGCTCAGGCTCTGTGAGGGATTATCCGCAGTATGGTGTGAGATTTTTTCAGAATAATGCGGAAGTCGCAGTGTGAATTGCATGCGCAAATACGTATAAAAAAACGTCAATGGTTTGGTTTAAAATGAAGCAATTAGTGCCGTTTACATGAGTCACTCAAGGCTGGGTCACAGCCGAGCCGGTGGGCACATAACAGGGTCCCTGGCTTGGCTAAGCTTTTTACTTCTCGCCTCTCTCTCACCCCTTGATATAGTGTATCTTCACATCATCATCATCCTGCCTACGTCCACTGCAGGATAAAGGCCTCTCCCATGTTCAACCAGTCAACTCGGTCCTGTGGTTGCTGCTCCCATTTTACCTACACACTTGTTAATTTCACATCCCCACCTAACTTTCTGTCTCCCCCTAACCCGCTTGCCTTCTCTGCGAATCCAGTTAGTTACCCTTAATGACCAGCGGTTATCTTGTCTACGCGCTAATTGGCCGGCCATTGTACATGGCTATGCTTTTAAAATTGCATACCTCTCGTTGGTCGGAAAGTCTCGTGGCACACACATGCCCACATGAACACACGCACACAAACACTCTGATGGACGGATGGACGATTCACTTATTTCGGATAAAACCCTCCGAAGGTATACGGGCCACTCATGATCATTTGCTCCGTGGATATGCTGTAATTTTTTATTCAATTTTCCTCTTTCTCACTTTTTCGGGACTGTCAAGATGACGAATGACGCAGACACCGACAAGAAAATTTCGGCGAAACGAGGTCACTGATGCTGTCATGTAAAATATTCTAGTGCGTATGTGCCGCAGAAATTGGCAAATCGCTCTGTATGCTCGCCACTGGTCCACTATATAAAAAAATGAATGCAACAACGGAAAACTCCATTCACGATTTCAGGGTTTACGGGATCAATAATTGAAGGATACCCAAAATGAAAACTCAGGATTACCCCAGGGACAAAGACCGGGGCTTCACGCTTTGGGTCAGCAGCAGGTCAACCATGAGTAAGAAGTGCCTGGTCAGTTATCACTTTTATGTTTTGTGGTTTCCGGTTGAAAGATGAAATTTCGTGCAAGCACGATGAATGCTTATCGTTGGCCCTGTTCTGTCTTTCTGGGATGGTTTTCTGCTTTCCCATAGTGGAGTACTAAGTACTCTTATTCGTTAAATAGTTTTTTTCTAAACACACGCCGTGATCACGGGGCGTCATCAATTGATCTATTGATAAGTAGGGTTTAACTTCCCAAAAGCATGATTATGAGAGACGCCGTAGTGGAGGGTTCCGAAGATTTCGACCACCCATTCAGTTCTTTAACGTGCACTCAAATCTGAGCACGCGGGCGTATAAAGCACTTTCGCTTACATCGAAAATGCCGCCACTGCAGCCGGGATTTGATCCCGCGAACTGCGGGTCAGCGCCGAAAAGGTGAAGTGAGGCCTAGGAGGAGGGAATGGTAAAAAATAAATAGTAAAGCATAACACGAAAAGAATGATGAAAGAAACAAAGGAAAAAATAAAAAGAGGGAAGAAACGAAACAGAAAATGTAGACAAAGAGGGAAAAGTAAAGAGAAGAAAAAAGAAAGATTAAAATAATAGAGGTAAAGAAGTTATCCCCGTTGCGCAGCTTCTTCAGGCTCGGCTTCATTACTGATAAGCTCCCTTCACTTTCTTTTTTTAGACAGTGTTTTTAACACCACTTGGCGGTGTTGTTACGGACTATTTTCTCTACTTTGGTTATTTCATGTCTACTTTCCGTGAGAGCGGCCCGCGACGTTGTTCTAAAAGAGTAGCGTTCCTCAGGACCCAATCATGTTCTTTGTCTGTCTGTCTCTTTGTCTGTTTTTTTGCTGAAGTACAGTATAGCCAATTGGAGTTTTTCTTTGACCAACCTTCTTGTATTCGCTCTACCTTCTTTCTCTCTTTTTTTGGTCTATTACATTTACAACCTAAAATGTCGTCTGCTCCCAATGCTATGGGTGTCCTTATCACGGAGAATTCGCGTAAATGCTCCATTCAATGACGCTGACTTATTTTCGTGACGTCAAGCACTTCACGAGCGCTTCAGATCGATGATAATTGATAGCCTCGAACCATGCGCGCCGAGGCGCCGTTGCCTTCGCACTGGTATGTCCGAATGACTGCACGCCAGCAACCCCTTTATGCGCGGTGGATAAGTAGTAATCAGGTATAAAATGGCCAATTGTGGAGTAAAAAGAAAATTAGCGCAGCTTGCACGAACTCGCCTTTTACCCCTTGAGTTCTTCGTTTCCTACCTTTTGCTATGCTTTTTCCCACTCTATATTTTCTACCACCCGTCACTCTCTTTTTCTATATATATGTAGTCGTCCTCTCGCTTTTCTTTTATTTTTATTTTTATTTCTAGTCATTTCTCCGTTTCTTGTTTTTCAAAAAATCTCTTATCTCTCTGTCTATCTCTCCACTTGTTCTCCCATCCTCATTTCTCTCTTCGTAGAACTAACTGCATTTTACCATCTCAATGCTATATATACTACACACCTTTTCCAATTTCCCAATTACATGCTCCGCTTGTAGAAGTACAGGACTGCACATTAGACTCTAGCGAAGCCCCAGTGCTGCGTCGCTATCGCAAACAAGTATACCTTGTTTCTGCCCCCATCATCACCCTTCACCACTTCCATTGTTCTCCCCCAGTCCCTCTTCCCCCGTGCAGAGTAGCAGGCTAGAGCGAACTAGCTCAAGTAGACCTCTCTGCCTTCTAATGCATCATCTCTTTGTCTCTCTCTGTCACGCCGTCTAACGTGCAAGTTTCACGAAATCGCCATCTTGCATCACGCGCCGGAAAACTTGGAGCGCATCTTGAGGAGCCAAGCAGAAGACGATGATGGAGAAGATGAGACGTAGAGCACTTGTCGGTTCATAATTATGGTAATTTTCTATCTACCACACATGGCACACCTCGACCATAAAACTTAATTCTATACCATCGATTATAAGGTGATACTAATGTAGATAAATAAATTTGGCGATGTGGATTAAAATGCTCTCGAGTAAGGCTCCAGAAGACGGGGAAGAAGAAATGCACGCACGCGGCGCACGAGAACCGAACGCGGCTGATAAGGCATTTTGGACTATCCCCGGCTTCGGTGAGTGCCAAGGTCCCAACGTGCTACTCCGCCGTACTCTACTCAGACAGTAGTAGGGGCTCAAGTCATCTGGCTGTTTGATCTGGCCTCTCGCTGCTTTTCCACAAAGGCTGTTGTTCCGGGAACCACTAGCCGGGTATCAGCAACCCTGACGAGCCCAGCGAGCTCTTCGTCATCAAGGGCTGACGTGGCATCGATATGTGGAGCCACAAGACCACGGCGGAGGCCACCCACCCAACGTTGTGAGAGAGAAGCGCCTGGCTGCTACTGACGATAACTACGCTGGCCCTTCCAACATGGCTCCGGCTGTCAAGGCACCACGTGGTCGACCACCTAAAGGCGTGTCGGTGGAGCTGCCAGCGCCATTGCCCATTGCTACCACGGCGGCTCTAAAGTTTCGGAACGCTGAGGATGCAACGCTGCCTGGTAGTGAAAACCCTTCAACTAGGGAGGACATCACTACGGAGGAACAGGTAGACGCCAACTGTGGTTCGCCAAAGGTCGGGCGAGCTGAGCGCCAGGCTGCTGTCGACAATAGCAGTGGCCCTTCCAACGAGGCTCCGACTGTCTGTCGCCAAGCTGCTGCTGACGACAATAGCGTTGGCCCTTCAAACGAGGCTCCAACTGCCAGTCGCCAGGTTGCCTCTGACAATGGCGCTCGCCCTTGCAATGATGCTCCGGATTGTCGCCAGGCTGCTGCGAACAATAGCACTGGGCCTTCCGACGAAGTTCTGGCTTCCAGTCGCCAGGCTGCTGCTGACGACAATGGTACTGGCCCTTCCAACGAGGCTCCGACTGTCTGTTGCAGGCTGCGGCTGACGACAATGACGCTGGCCCTTCTAACGAGGCTCCGACTGTCTATCGCCAGGCTGCTGCTGACGACAATAACGTTGGTCTTTCAAACGAGGCTCCAACTGCCTGTCGTCAGGCTGCCTCTGACAATGGCGCTCGCCTTTGCAATGACGCTCCGGATCGTCGCCAGGCTGCTGCTGACAATGGCACTGACCCTTCCAACGAGGTTCCGGCTTCCAGTCGCCAGGCTGCTGCTGACGACAATGGTACTGGCCTTTCCAACGAGGCTCCGACTGTCTGTCGCCAGGCTGCGGCTGACGACAATGGCGCTGGCCCTTCTAACGAGGCTCCGACTGTCTATCGCCAGGCTGCTGCTGACGACAATAACGTTGGCCCTTCAAACGAGGCTCCAACTGCCAGTCGTCAGGCTGCCTCTGACAATGGCGCTCGCCCTTGCAATGACGCTCCAGATCATCGCCAGGCTGCTGCTGACAATGGCACTGACCCTTCCAACGAGGTTCCGGCTTCCAGTCGCCAGGCTGCTGCTGACGACAATTGCACTGGCCCTTCCAACGAGGCTCCAACTGCCAGTCGCCAGGCTGCTGCTGACAATGGCGCTCGCCCTTGCAATGACGCTCCGGATCGTCGCCAGGCTGCTGCGAACAATAGCACTGGGCCTTCCATTGAGGTTCTGGCTTCCAGTCGCCAGACTGCTGCTGACGACATTGGCGCTGGACCTTCAAACGAAGCTCTGTTCGCCATTCGCCAGGCTGCTGCAAACAAGGGCGCTGGCCTTTACAACGAAGACCCGGGTGCCTGTCACCAAACCTTTGACGACAATGGCGCTGGCCCTTCCAACGAGCTTCCGGCTGCCAAAAAGTCGCGCGGTCGACCACCCAAGGTTGTGTTGGTGCAGCTGCTAGCACCTGAGGCCATCGCTGCCACGGTGACTCGAAAGTCGACGAAGGCAACGCATGCAGCGCAGCCCGCTAGCAAAAACCCTTGCACCAGCGAGGAAGTCGCAACGAAAGCCCCTATAGTGAGCCGCCGGAAGCGCCCGAGAAGCTCCTCCCCGAGCAGCACTCACGATCAGCGAGGCTTCGAAGCGTCGCAGTGTCGAGAGGAAGGTGAGCCGCAGAGGTTCCAGGCGCTTGCTCCGCACTTGTCATACGGGCGCACGCATGAAGCCTGAAGCCGTGAAGGCTCGGTCACATGCGCGAAGAATGCAGTGGCACCGCAAGTGCCTCCGCCTTGCCGTTCTAGAAGCTTCCACACCAGAGAGCGTGCAATGGAAGTACGGAAAGAAGTGTGGCCACATCCATAGTCGCACTTCCTTGAGGCACGCAGGAAGCCGTCTAAAGGCGAGGAAGGCTTCGCGCAGCGGTTCGTCGATTAAGCACGGGAGGCGTACGAGGTTTGGCAACACATCCAAGAGATTCAAGAGAAAGTGGAAGACGGGTGAAGCCATGATTATAACGAAAATATCGATCCGTGAGGAATGACGGAAATGCGCTTAGACTTGAGCTTTACGCAAGATGAACAAATTGTATTTCGTTCCTAGTTTTCCGATAAAGTGGCTCTGTATGGCCTAATTATTGTTTGAAATGTGCTATCATGTAATTCGCGGGTGAAATAGCGGGGAAGATGTGACAGCGGTTTAATATAGTGCACCAATGCTGACTTATTTGTTCAACAAAAATTTATGAAGGTGAGATTGTCCAACTAGAATACAGTACATCGCTCAGGCTCTGTAAGGGAATATCCGCAGTGTGGCGTAAGAGTTTTCAGAATCGTGCGCAAGTCGCAGTACGTCTCGCATGCGCAAATAGGTATATAAAAATGTCAATGGATTGGTGTAAAATGAAGCAATTAGTGCCCTTTACATAAGTCACTCAATGATGGGTCCCAGCCAGCCGGTGGGCATGTAGCGGCGAGAGAAGAGAGACGTGAGATGACGTCGAAGGCGGCCGATGGGGCCGTGCCGATCTCGCCACTTTATTCCAGGCCTGAAGCGGAGCCACGTCGGCTACCAGCTTCCGCCACGCCAGGCGTGTCAGCTCGTTTTAATCCTCGCGCAGCTCGAGCTTGCATCTGCTGCGTGAGAGGCGCGGCGCGGTGATTGAGAAATGATGATGGTGATGATGGCACTACAGGCACATAACATGGTCCCGGGCTTGGCTAGGCTTTTTACCTCTCACCTCTCTCTCACCCCTTGACATAGTGTATCTATCATCATCATCATCATCATCATCATCATCATCATCATAATCATCATCATTCTGACTACATCCATTGCAGGACAAAGGCCTTTGCCATGGTCTGGCAGTTAACTCGGTCCTGTGCTTGCTGCTGCCAATTTATACCCGCAAACTTCTTAATCTCATCTGTCCATCTAACCTTCTGTCTCCCCCTAACCCGCTTGCCTTCTCTGGGAATCCAGTTAGTCCCCCTAATTACCAGCGGTTATCCTGTCTACGCGCTACATGCCCGGCCCGTGTACATGGCTAAGTACATGGCAGCGAAATTGCATACCTCTCGTTAGTCGGAAAATCTCGTGGCACACACATGCACAAACGCACGCGCACAGGGACAGATGGGTGGACAATTCACGGTTTTCCGATAAAACCCTCCGAAGGTACGCCCCACTCATCATCATTCGCTCCGTGGATATGCCGTGATTTTTATTCAATTTGCGTCTTTATCACATTTTCGGGACTGTCAAGATGACGAATGGCGCAGACAACGACAACGGAATTTCTACGAAACGAGGTCACTGACGCTGTCGCGTTAAAACTTCGAGTGCGTATGTGCCGCGGAAATTGGTGAACCGCTCTGTACTCGCCACTGGTTCACTAAAAAAAAATGGCAGCATATCCACAGAGTGAATGATGGAGAGTGGGGCGAAGCATTCGTCTGTCCATGCGTCCGTCTGATTGACCGTCCATGCGTCTGTTTGCGCGCCCGTCCCTGCGTTCTTTCATGCATCCGCCCCTGCGTCCGTTCATGCGTCCATCCATGCATCTGTTTGTGTGTCCGTTCGTTCATCTATTCAACACTCCAAGTCCCACCATCTCGCATCTTTTTATCATATATTCCCCATATAGAAGCACCGCCATCCAGCGGACATTCCAAGGACTAAACGAGAGGTGGCACACGCACACTTTCTTACGGCCTGCGCTTTGGGTCCACTTCCCACCTTTAACCACCTCGAGTTCATGGTATATTCTAGTTCATTGTATTCATGGCACTGCGACCAAATGCTCGCTAAACCTTTCGAAAACCAAGGAGGTTACGCCCAGCGAGTATAACGTAGCAACCTTTCCCTGTCAGATAGGGCTCCATTTACATGCCAATGGCTGCTAATGAGAAATGAGAGACAGGAGGATTCGACTTTTACTTTCTTACGACTTGCGCTTCGTATCTACTTCTCATTTTTAACCACCTTGAGTTCATTCATGGTATATACAAGTTCATTGTATTCATGGCACTGCGGCTCAACGCTCGCTAAACCTTTCTAAAGCTAAGGAGGTTACACCCAGCGAGTATAATGTAGCATCCCTTTCTTGTCCGATAGTGCTCAATGTACATGCCAATGGCTGCTAATGGGGATCGCAGCGTGCGCGTTGACTAAAAGCCGAATGCTCATGTCTCTCATTCCCCATTAGCAGCCATTGGCATGTACATTGAGCACTATTTTTTATTGTTAAACAACGCACAGAAGAAATCTCTCACTGGCACCACCTTGGAGGTCAAGTGTTATACCTATTTCGGGTATGTGCCACTGGTGGTTACATACGAGGGACGCCCAAGCCACGCCATAAGGAGCTTCGCCCCTAAAACAGAACTGAACAGGACCAATACTTGAAAGATACCCAAATAAAAACTCAGGATTACCCCAGTGACAAACACCGGGGCTGCACGCTTTGGGTCTGCAGGTTAATCATGAGTAAAGACTTATAGACTACCGCGTCAGTTATCGCTTTTATGTTTCGGGGTTTCCTGTTGAAAGATAAAATTCCGTGCAAGCACGATGAACGCTCACCGTTGGCTCTGTTCTGTCTTTCTGGGATGACTTTTTGTTTTGCCAGAGAGAAAGAGAGAGAGAGAAAAGACTTTATTCACAGGTTCCTGCGTGGAGTACGTAGGTGCCAGTCTTGCAGGGCGCGGTCTACCCTTTTAATGTTATAGTCTATGCAGTCCTAGAAACACTGGGCCAAGAACTCGAGGGTTGAACTTGACCCGACAGAGGATACTTTCCCACAGTAGAGCACTAAGAACTCTTAATCGTTGAAAAAAAAAAGTTTTTCTAAACACATGCCGTGATCACAAAGGCTCATCAATTGATTTATTGATAGGTGGTGTTTAACATCCCAAAAGCACCATATGATTATGAGAGACGCCGTAGGGGAAGAATTCGAAAATTTCGACCACCTAATGTTGTTTAACGCGCACTCAAATCTGAGCACACGGTCCTACAGCATTTTTGCCTCCATGGGAAATGCAGCCGCCGCAGCCGGCATTCGATCCCGTGGTTTGCGGGTCAGCAGCCGAGTATCTTCACCAGCAGACCACCGCGGCGGGGCAAGAAATATAGTTGAACGGCTTTCTGTTGCTTTGTTGCACAGTTTATTCTTATGGAGAGAGAGAGAGAGAGAGGGTGCGTACCTTTCTCTACATAATGAGAGAGCACGACACCGCGTCACAAAGCAACCCGCTGACGCGCTGCATCGCTTACTGGTGCCGAGTGTCATTGACGCTTGCCTTCGTGTCGTGTGTTCGCCTGTCCGAATCTCGGCTCGCCTCGCCAGTAAAGTTTTTCGCCAAGGATTTCTCTTTCTTCTATTTCTTTTTTTCTCTCTCCCTTTATTTGTACCTATTGATTTATCTTTGTCTCTTTCTCCCTCTTTTCACTATACTCCTCTCGCCCATCAGTGTTGTTAATTCCCAATACGGATAATCTGGTTCACTTCCTCTGGGAGCGAAGCAGAAGAAACGATGATTTTATTTAAGAAAGCGCTACAACATACGTCTGCAAAGCGAACGACTAAAATGAGTTTTTGCCAGAACCACCACGTGTGGCGTGCAGAAGAGCTCAAAATCTCCCTGACCTAAACACTCACGTCGTCGAAAAGCACATGCAGTATACCTACTGGCTGCCTTCCACGCACGCAACAAACGCCTATTGTGAAGTCTGTCATCACATGACCGCTTCACTTATCGCAAACAGCACCGCATCCAACTTATACCTGAAAATAAATGGTGGCTATAGCTGCGATACGCGTAATGCATAGTGTACCTCCTGGAATGCTCAATCGGCGAAATGTATATGTGAATATAGGCGAAGCCGAAACACCCTTCCAATATCGGTTTAACAGCCACAAGGGTCATGTCTCAATTCATGTTTTCACCTTCCGACATCAGAGCATGCTGCAATGGCCGACACATTTGACATCCCAACTAGTATTCTGGAATCTGGTTTCCGAACGCATCATGACTGGGAAGTTCGCGAATCATTTTTTCACCTTTAAATTTAACGCAATCGCAGGCGGTCTAAATGAAAGCGCGGTAAAACTGTGTGTGTTGCATCAGTGGCTGCTGTCGATATCATTGCTTGTGCCGCCTGTGATTCCTGTGCACGTGTCGTGATCACCTATAAGTGAATGCGAAACGGGTCCCCGATGGATAAATATGATGTCTGGTTGTTCTACTTTTATAGATTTTGTGATTACGGGAGTATTCTAATCGAAATTTTACGAGATTATATGCTGTATCACCACAATCAATCTTGTTATTCTGACAAACGCCGGTCCCCCGGCCCAAACGTAAAGGAAACATTGTGCAAGCTCGACGTGTCTTTTTAGCGTCTAAGAAGTTATTCTGTGAAAACACACACACACACACACACACACACACACACACACACACACACACACACACACACACACACACACACACACACACACACACACACACACATATATATATATATATATATATATATATATATATATGTATATAGCCTTTTTATCCTCGCCTTCTGTCGTTAGTACAAGAAAGAAAGAACAGAAACTAGTAGAAGAAGGAAGAACTTGTACTTCAACCCTTGACTCTTTATCCCATACTCCTTTCTGTCCTCTTCACCATCACATCTCTTCCCCACCATGTTGCTATACTATACCACATATACAACGC